AGGACTCGCTCGCAGGAGGCTTTTCAAGTGCTCAGGCCTTCCAAGGCTACCTGGCAAACTTGAATATGTGGTCATATGTCCTTCCTGCAACAGAGATCCAGAGGCTCTCAGAATCTTGCCATGCAGGAGAAGGGAATGTTTACAAATGGAACGACTTCATTTATGGCGTCAAAGGAAAACCCGCGGTCGTCATGCCATCGCCGTGTGAAACACAGGAATGATTCCACCGCGAAAGAACACTGTGTTCAAAATAAGTGGCCAAACTAATTATAACTTCACTAAAGCACTTCATTAAAACTAAAATTTCTATTTAGTATTGCTAATGATGATACATTTAGCGTAGTGGGAAACTTTAATCTGACGTAAACGAGAATGTAAGTAAGCCAAGAACACATGCGAATAATTACCACAAAGTTGTGATTTCACGGCAAACACGATGGGTTCAAACATTTTTAATCAATCGAGTTCCGCTTTTCCTTTTCTTAGACCCGCTCAGGCCCAGATAACTTACGCCATTCTCTCAACGAATATGATGCAAGACAAAACCGATCGCGCTTTGTCTTCTAAAGTTTTCTCGCACTTCAATCAGTGGCTCTCAACAGAAACCCATTGATTTCGAGAGCAAAATAAAGCCAAAACGGAATGTTTTATAGGCTAAAAGTTGTAAGAAATTCGGTCAGAACAGCAAGTACGATCAATACCTGTCGAATCCATTCTGATATTCTAAATATAGTCAAGAGCATATTCTCTTAATATGGTATAACCAAGAACAATTTGCACTCTGGATATGACTCGATTTTAAATACATATGTCAATGTTAAAGTTCGGATATAACGCGCGCCCTCATAGGTATTTTTATCTGAGTACAGAACACAAAGCTAAACCTGTCACGCCATCAGCCACTTTGCACAATGTCGGATCATTTCGCTGACTTCTCTAGAGCTTTTTTTCGTAAATTGACCATGAGGTCTTGCATGACCTGCGTGAACTCGAGCTTTTGGCTTCAACTGATACAGAACAATCTGTAGGAGCACTAATTACAAGGGGATAGAAAGTGACATTTCGGAACAAGCGAGGTGGCAAGTAGCAACAGTAGATCCAAATGAAGACTCGTAAATATGACAAGCACCGTAATTAACAAAGATTATTATCAAGTGATAGAGACGAATATTACGAAAGAGAAAACGAAATGGACTGTCTGAGTTTTTTTTATTAAACCAATAGACTATTTGAACCATTCTAACAGGGATTCTGACTGGCATATTTTTAGGGAGGGTTCTGAAAGAGGGTATCAATGCGGGGAAGATAGAAGATACTGGGAAAACGTTACAAACTAAGAGCGCGATCGATCGAGTAATATAGGAGGGTACGTTTGTGAAAAAGAGATGACAAAAAAGTAACCACGACAAATCAGTTGTAAGTGAGAGTGTATCAGTTTTCCATATGGAGAGAATTTCCATCAAAATCAAACGACTCTTAATAAAGCGCATAAGGTACCACCTTAACAAGTCGGTTGCTACACAGAAATGAATATGGTTCTGCTATCGAATGGTGAAGGTTCCTGAAGCATTTGGCGCGGAATTTTAAACAAGTTATAAACTTCATGGTGTTCAGCAGTCACATTGCTGAACACCATCGACTTAACAACCACAACATTGACTGAGACTCTGCGCAATGCCTAACCTACAGCACTGACTATTTTCAACGACGGACTCTGGAAAGCTGGTTTACTAACTTAGAACAGACTCCCCTGAACAGATGTCAACAACTACCCGCTCCATACAAACCACTCATTCACGACATAAACATCACAAACGGCCGAAAAATAACGACCTAACTTTACCAACAGATCTAAACAGACCAATCACGACCAACTTACGTCACTTGAGTCTTACAGCCAATAACATCACGGCAAAACCAACCGATCATTTTACAGGAACTGGAAGAAGAACATTCTACTGACAACAATCATTCACTTGACTCTAATGATGACTTCCCCACAGGTTGTCGAAACGTCAGTAACTACCGCCGACAACAGTCCCTCTCAGGACTACACTCACCCGGACGTTCAGACTACACCTTCACAATTTATAAACAATTCACAATAAGAATTTCCAGCAATTGTAGTGCAGAATCTCGTCTTCACTGTTGTCTAATAAGTGTGCCTTCCCCAGCATCTCACCCAGGCACTAAAAAATTATCAAACGAACAGGAATTACACTTAGTAAGTGATCTACCGCTTTCCCATTTCTATAAATCGAGGCGAACCGTCTGAATGAAGCCATATGTTCAAGCACAGACTCAATGAAATCTCTCTCGTCTCACGTCTTCTTGATTTTACTTACTTTGTTTGTCATACTTAACATGAAAAAATTTCTACTGACAGGAGCCTTCCTTTCGTTGCCAAGAAGATTTCCCATAATGCTTCTGGTTAGCTTGAAGAAATCAAGTAGTTTTGACAATTGATGCTTTCTCGGCTCTGATTCAATCACGTTTCGCACAAGAATTGTCTACAGCTACACAACACAATTACAAGGCGTCGTTCTGCGTAGAAACATCTGTTATCGAGTTCCTATATTCTTTCTCTCAGATTCCATGCATTTCTTTCCTTGGAAAACCTCTGCCCGAACAATGCAAATGTTGCCTGAAATAACCGCAATACATTTTTGTCCGAACCTACCTTAAGTTTCTGCTCAGTCTTTTGATAAATATTTTCATTTTATATTTTAGCTTTCCAGTACGAATGCGGCTGCAATCCGATTACCAACGCTTCTCGCTGGCATAAGAACGAGTAATGAAGGAATTCATAACGGTCGGGAGTCTGAGGAGAGAATATTTCTTATGCTAAAAATGGGAGACTGACTGTTACATACTGCACCGCAAGATCTGCAGGTAGGGACATTTGCCGATTGTTATTATTCTTCCTCTCAGATAACATGCACTTTTCCCTGGGGAACTTCCACCGTAACAATGCCAATTGTGCCCAAAATAACCACAATACCTTTTTGTCAGAAACTACCTTAAGTTTGTGCTTAACTGAGTGTAGAGCCAAGGTATTAGCGAACAATTGAGAATATAGGCATATAAGCGCTCTTTTTTTCTGGTCCTGAGTATATTTTAAATGATTAATTGTAGCTAGTAAACCTCCCCCTTCAGCTTAGCTCTTAAGCTAGGGCCCTTAGGCCCTTAAGTTAGTGACTATCTTGTTACCGTCTTTATTAATAATTTATATAA